TGTTCGAAATGATGGTAAGTGTCTCACATTACCTGTTTTTATTATTAATGCTCATGGATTTGATTTTTTTTTTTTTTTTTTTGTAGATCCCGTTGACTGTTCGGACTAGTGCTGGCCAAGATGCGAAGCCAGACTGCATGTCTGGTGTAGACATTGAAAAAAGTCATGTATAACATTTGCTCTGCAATAAAGTATTTTTGAACAGTTACCTTTGTTTGCAATAATGAATGGCATGATCATGCTCATAGTTACAAGCTAAGAACACAGCGCAAGGAAATACGCAGAGGAGAAAGCCGACAGGATGCTGGAGGGGAGAGGTTTTCTTCTCTCCTCTTCAGCATTCCGTCAGCTTTCTTCCCCCTTTCCTTTGCCCTGTGTTCTTAGCCTCTCACTGACCAGTAATCTAGAATTTGTGTGTGATTTTTTCTTTAAAATAGTACACAACAATGAATTTCTTTCTGCAGGCAGCTCTTGCAGGCACGTTCAGGTTCATAATCCAGTTGGAGAAAACCTAAAAACAAAAATGAATTAAGATGGCAATTTGAACCAGTTGGTTCATGATCGAATGTAGGCGCCAAAAAAACAAGGACAAGAGACGTAAACACTGGCGCCATGGTTTGCCAGTGTTTACGTCTCTTCTTGTCCTTGTTTTTTTGGCGCCTATCTCCGAATACAACTGAAAGCATCCTAACAGCTCAGTGAACAGCTGCACCTGCAATGCATTAATTGTCCTAAAAATGTACTAGAAAAATCCTTGGCTGCCCTCCTGAGGACGTTCTGAGGATGTCCTGAGGCCGGACAATAGGACGTTTTTAGGATGTTTCCTGGACCATTTGAGGACATCCTCAGAACATCATAATGTCCTCAAAAGGTTGTCCTGAGGACATCCTGGGGATGTCCAAATGTTGTCTGGGGACAGTAAGGAACCAGCCCCCAGGACAACTGTTCCATCGCACCAACTGCCGACAATGTGTAACCACAAACACCGCAGGAGACGAGCAGAAATCGCCAAGGGCCTGTTCATATTGCCGCGCGCAGCTGGCCAAGTAGACAGCGCGCGCGTGGCCCAACGGTTATCGAGCCTGCCTCCCACGCGAAAAGCCTGGGTTCGATTCCTGGGAGCGACGTGTACTTTGTTTACTTCTGCAATTTAGTGTTCTGGAAAATTCACGAATTTTGTGGCTTGTTTGAGGTCAGAATGTTCTACGCGTCGAACTTTCTACGCCGATTATCCCAGAAGCCCACGCGTGTACATAAGGGGTTTCGCGTGGTGAGCCAAAGTCAGTCTCGCCCCTGCCCTCGATCCTGCGGTTTCGCCGACATCGACGCCCGCGACGTTCTGCTGTTTTCTTCTGTTTACTTTTTTTTTTGTTTGGGCACAAGTTCGCCCCATCAAACGTTTAGTTTCTTCAGTTATCTTTGCCTCATCAATCGTCATTCAAGACAATATGAACAGGTCCTTTCCTGAACAGCAGAGCACGAGGCCATATGGCCTCGTGCTCTGCTCCGGCCTGTCCAAGCGCTCGGTTGCCCAGCAGGAAAAGCTAACCGAGTCAGCTCTCTATTGGCGACGTGCGCGACCGAAAGCGTCGCTATGGTCGGCCTTCCACGATTGGCCCAAAAGCTGACCATGACGTCGGGAAGGGTATACCATCGATGGAAATAAGAGGAATTAAAGAACTTTAATTTCTACGGTGTTGGCAGTGTTGCTTTGAGAGCGCAATGATTTCAGGCTTCCACCATGCTATTCACAAACACCATCGAACTTGTTGTTCGCAGGGTAATGACGTCACAAGGGGGAACCCCTTGTGACGTCATTAGATCTCCGCATGCGGCACTTAGAACCAAGCCACAAACTTTCAAGTGTGAGCCCGCAGCATGAATCTTGCATCTTCATTGTTCTCATCATCAAAATAGAGGACGGTAAGTCGATTTCTGTTGATTCGTAATTCATATTCGCTGCTCTTGTCTTTGCGCTCTTTCGCTAGATGGTATACCTCAGAATGCAAAATCGAAAGAGGAAGCCAGGGCGGCTGTGTTCGACCAATGTTTCGTATCTCCTAAAAAGAAACGTAAGTTTCTTTGAGAGGACACACCATGTCTTAAATCGACGGGGTGTTCACGCTGCTTGGTTACGAACTCGACCGCCAGCTGGGTGATTTCAGAGACCGCTTTCGCGAAGACGACCGCCCGGCCAACACCGGCGCCAAACCCAGGGGCCCTATGTTGCGCCTTTTGGACTCCCACGGCGACTAGGGAGAAGGAAGTGACGTCAACAACGCAGCAAACGCAAATTGGATGTTGATTGGTGACAGTTGCTGATGACGAATTTCCGCAGTAGAAAGCAAAGAAAAAGTGAGCTTTGTTTTCTTCTGCGGAAATTCGTAATCAGCCACTCTCACCAATCAACATCCAATCTGCGTTTGCTGCGTTGCTGACGTCACTTCCTTCTCCCTAGTCGCCGCGGGAGTTCAAAAAGCGCAAAAAAAGGTGCCCTATGTTGTGCTTTTTGAACTCCCACGGCGACTAGGGAGAGGGAAGTGACGTCAAAAGCGCAGCAAACACAGATTGGATGTTTCTTCTGCGGTAATTCTTCATCAGCGACTTTCACCCATCAACATCCAATCTGCGTTTGCTGCGTTGTTGACGTCACTTTCTTCTCCCTAGTCGTCGTGGGAGCCCAAAAACGCTACATAGGGCCCCAGGGCCCCTGGAGCCCATCAGAAGTTTGCTAAACTCCCTGCGTCGCCAGAAATTCAGGCGGCTCGTCTGCAAGCCGTGCACGGAGCGAACCTTCGCCAGGCGCTCGAGACCGGCCTGCTATACTCCGTTTCACCTTACGTTGTACCGCAGTGAAGGCTAAAAGCGGGAGCTCATAGCGTTGGCAGCAGCCCTTGGTGCACGAGAGCTTGTGTCGCCGAGATGTGCCCTAGAGAAAGGAGCTCGCGCTTGTAGCCTTTCCTGCGGTACGACACAAGGTGAAACAGAGTATAGAAGTCAGCAACCCATGGCGGCCCCACAAAGATCACCGTCGCGAAGACCGACGCAAGCCTCTCGCTCTTCATCCTCTTCAACCGCGACATCAACCACTCACCCTCGTCCAGACGCTCCATTTAAACTATCACCACCATCTCTTTTAAAATTTGATTTGTGCAATACCATCTCATCATCGTTTGACGCGCGGCGCCGCGGGCTTTCACATTATGTGCTACTTGCCTTTCTGTGGCGCCGCGGCTCTCCTGAGCCGGAAGAAATCACTATCACTTTCACTATTTAGTGCGAATCTATATTTTGAGTCGCCTTCCCAATTTCGATTGACTCGCCTTCCTGTTTTTGATTGAAATGGTTAGTGACCCAGCTTTTTTGAAAACAACTTCTTGGGCATTTATTTGTTCTACACCTTTCGCGCTTCAAAAAGTTGAAGCTTCAAATTTCGATCAACTTCGTCCCTGCCAAAGGTCTGTGTGCTGCGGCGAGAAGAGCACATTTCGCCTTGCTCTTAAGTTGAGTAGACCGACGACAATAGTGATAATGATAGTTTGTGGCTAATTCTTTTTATAGTTTGGTTTGGTTGCTAGCGCCACCAAGCACCCCGCAGTAGCAGTTTCAACCGCGTGAATGCCAATGGCCTGCAGTTCTAGTTCACTCTATCTAAGAAGCGTAGCCAGCGCGAGAAAAATTTCAGAGGCCACGACCTGTTCCGTCCAGTTCAGTAATTTCCCTCTAGGTGCCGTTCATTTTGCTGGGCTCGTGATTGAAACTGTGAGAATGTGTACACCAAGCACGAGCGGGTAGCGTCGACTTGTGCACTCGTTGCATGAGCGTTCGCGTAGTCTGGTTGCGATCAATTCAGAGAGCTTGCGCTTGTGGACTTCGCAGTTTTTTTTCGAAAAATGTGCCACAGGGCATAATAGGGGGGGGGGGGGGGGGGGGGAGGGTTTAAAGAAATGAGTGCAGTCCAGCGTCGTGCAAGAACTGCAAGAGGGCCTTGTAATACTTGTTGCCATTCACCCACTGGCTGTAGTTATCGTGTGGGTAACCTTTAGTTCGGGTGCACTTAGGATGAAAGTTTGCGCCACAAAAAACAACGAGTTCTAATCTATATCGCTCCAACCGTCTATGACACGGCCGCTTGTGGTACCTGCGTGCTCGCAAGCTGCGTGAGGAGCACAATACTCCGTTTCAATATGCGTGAGTGCTGCAGAACAGCAGGGCGAGTACGCGCGTCGTGCAGTGCAAGCATCTAACAGGACAATCTGCTTTTGCTTGCATTTTCAGTGTCGCTTACACATAATGTGAAACAAACAATAAACATCTCAGGTCAGCGATCACCCTCCCTGCACCTGGACCGTTGAAGACTGCACGTGAAGGCTGAGAGACGTCATTTTTACAAGCAGACTGAAAGAGCAGACGTTTTTTTTATAGACCTGTGTATATTTGCTCACACGCATTTATAAATAATACGAGTTTTCTCAATAAAGTCACTAATGAACAGTCATGCCCGTGCTCATTACTCTTCATTGAACTATGATCTGACTACTTTTGCTTGGGTTACAGCAAAGACTATACGTTAAAGGCTTGGAGGAAACCATACTCCGTGATAGCTCGGGCAGGTAAATGCGTTGGGCAGGTGAAGCGATGTTTAGTACTAAGCGCTTGTGCTCCTGGCCTTTCTTGTGTTAAAGTTTAGTAGTGCGGATGCCCGGTCTTCACGTGCGACATAATGACTGCATGGCTCGCAAGAACCGATGGACCAACAAAAGCACGTGGACACACCATTCACTGTGGCGTTCGAGTTCAAGAGATAAAGAAGAAGTTCCCAGCCAAGCAGAAAAAAATACGTAGGGCAAATTTTGCCATCGGCATCGAGGCCAGCAACCCCATCGGCTCGCGGCGTCTCGAAGCCGTCCGGGGGTCCCCGCAGCAAGGTCGGCATCGGCGCTGCTTTGCGGTGCGGTTCCCTGGGACGCGCCCACGTCCCAGGCGCCAATGGGTTGAGCAAGTGGCTGCTTGCCATGCTCTCTCAGCTGCACAAGAAAATCACCTTCTCAGGCTTTTCGATGGACAGCGAGCCCCCAGGACTTCTCAACCGCGGCCAGAACCTGTGTTTCGCCATCTCCTCACTGCAGTGCCTGTTCCGCACGCCCGAGATGGGTTACCTACTGGAAGACTGGTTGAGCAACAGCAACCTCATCTTGGGCACTAACGACGAGGCCTTTCTGTGCAGTTTCCTCAACCTGCTGCGCGAGTGCCTCAACAGGAGCCTCCAACAGTCCACGCAGGAGTGCTTCATCAACCAGTGCAGACTCTTCATGCCGCAGCTGGTCGCAGCGTCGGCCTGCCAACAGGAGCAACAGGACGCAGCAGAGTTCGTCATGACGTTCCTCAATGTGCTCCACAAAATCCTCAACAGTCGCCGGTCGCGCAACAAGGCGCACGCTGACGCGAGCTCCTCCAACGAACACAACTCCGAATTCTTGCAGTTGTCCATCTCGACGCTGACGAAGCGCATGCTCGACTACATCCTGCAGATCGCCTACAAGGGCTGGGAGGTTTACGAACGGTGCAATGATTCACCCATCGTGCACCTATTCACGGGCCAGACGGTCGACGTCCACCAGTGTACCACGTGCCTTAAGACCAGCGTCCGGACACAAGTCTTCAATGTGCTGCCCATCACGATCGTGCAAGCTCCCAGGATCGGGAACTGCGTCCGCCTGTACGATCTGCTCAGGTGCTTCAGCGAGGCCGAGCGGATGGACAGCCGGAACTCGCGCGGCGATCTGGAGCTCCAGGCGGGGCCGATCTGCAACATCGTGTCGCACACCAGCTGGCTTCACCGGACGCTCCTTTCGCAGACGCCCAGCTCGGTTGTGCTCCAGCTCCTGCGGTTTCAGTACGACAACGCCACGGGCGAGGCCCACAAGATTAAGGACCCGGTTCGTATTCCCCTCTACAACATGTGCCTGCCGAACGGATCCGGCACGTGGCCCCAGTACAAGCTGTACGGGGTGGTGGTACACGTGGGAGTGAGGTCCACTCAGGACGGGCACTACATCGCATTCGCCGAGGATCGCATCAAGGAGCACTGGTACAAGTTCGACGACGAGCTCGTGTCTCAGGTGTTCGACATGGAGGAAGAACTCGCCAAGCCGTTTATTATGGAGAATGCCTATTTACTTTTCTACAGGAAAACCTGAGTCGTCACTATACAGCGTCTCACTTTGAGTACGACCTCAGCGGAAGTTTACGATCCGATTCCGTCAATCAAGTAGTGTCAGAAGTACATCCTCAAGGCGCTCGTTTCTTTGGTGAGTTTGCTATCATCCGGCCAAACCAATCGAGCAGAGGGAAAAGGTGCAGGATAACGGCGCCTTCACTGCGCGTGATTTGCCTAGTCGGTGATAGTAAACGTACAAAGACAATGAGGGCCGTGATGATGCACTTTTGGGGCTGCTTGATTGGCACCATCGGATCCTTGGCTGCCGTTGGGCTTAACGCGAAACGGACTGTAGTGTGTGTGGTGGTGACGAAAGTGTGAATCCTGCTTCCTAGTAACACTGCTTCCTTGTAAGTCAACCGATCCTGGTGTAACTCTAAAGGCGATGTCGCTTCTGTACGAGGAACGACCGCATTGTAAACTGCCGGGAATCTAGAGCGTTAAGGTGGACGCTTAAGGTTCGCTTGTCATTAGACAAGCCCTATTTTTGAGCGCTCATGCCGTCAGTGTGTAGTTCTGTAACATGACCGCTTGTTTGAGCCTTTGTTGACATTGGTTTCCTCCATTTGTCTCGGGTAAACGTAGGCGGCTTTGATTACAGAGTGAGACTGGTAATAAATGAAACTATCTTCACGGCGGTTTCGTTTAAGAGCAACAAATGATTTTCATGGCTCTCTGCGACGCTCGTGACAAAAAAGGGAAATCAGTGTCACTCCCGGGAGCACGCCCTTAGCCACCTAAAAAAGAGATATATAAGAATACCGAACGTTGACTTCGACTCGGAGCCACCACTGAATGCGAACGAAGCCCGGGGTGGTGCGAAATTTAGCGCGCTTCCTAGAGTAACCCAGCGGGGTTTCCGTCGCCGGGTCGACGAAAACCCGCCCGGGCCGGTCGCGCATCAGTATGCAACTCGCTCTGCCGCGCAATCTCCTCGTCGAAATCCTGACGCCCCGAACTGCAACGTGGTGCGTACCTTTTGTCGAGAACGCGAAAGAAAAGGGAGCGTACGCGGGCGCCCGCCCAGCGCGAGAGCTTCGCATTGCGACCGCTTTTAGCCGGCATTGCATTACACGGTGGCAGAGACGCGCGACAAATGTATGCGAGACGCCGCGAGAATATTGAGTGCGTCAACTTTGGGGACCACCCGTGTTGTGGTGACGCCGCCGCCGCCACCGCCTTGCGCACACCCCGCGGGGCACCGCGCTGACCGAGGACACGAGGGACAATGAGGTGGCTGACGGATGACATGGGCTGCGCTTCTGCCGTTTAAAGGATCCAGTGAAGGATTTTTATAACTTCACTAAATGCTGCTCAGAACCAATTTCCAACGTAACTAACTAAATAAAATTTGTCTTAGTTTTTTTCTTTCTAGGCAATGGCAGCCGCGAAACAAAAATTGAGAAATATGAGCATCGTTCATCCCCTCAACTCGGAGCCGGAACAAGAGGCCACGTGGCCTGGTGCTTGCCGCCAACGTTAATCATAGCGACGCGCCGGGGTTGGCAAAATAGAAAGCGCATGCTGAGCTCCAGGCATTGTAAAGTTTTTTTTTCATCCCTACAGCGGAGTGCTATAAGCACAGCACTGAGTGTGCGCTAAGCGCGTGCCGACGGGAGAATTCACCAGCTTTGCATCACACCGTCGAAACTGCTGCTCATGGCAGGCGATAAGTAGCTGGCGACATGTGAGCAGCGCTGCATCAGCGCTTCGCTGTATGTGAGAACTGGTATTTAGATTACAGTTCACACGGAAAGTATAAAAATACTGAAAATATACGAGGAACAGACACATGCAGTTCTTACAACGAGCTACGACATTTAAGGCCCGTTCACACGATGCATTTTTCTCGCGCATCTAGTGTCGCGAAACGTAGTTTCGCGAAATGGTTGCGCCGTCTGAACGAGTCCGAAAAGGACGCGCGCATCTAAAAAAAGTTGCGCGCACACCTCGCTTCTGGAGCGAGCTTTTGCTGAAACTTTGCCGAGTCCTGTCAATCACTCTGAGGGCGCCGCCAATGGCCGCTCAGAAACGCTCTCACGTGGCCTCTGAGGGGGGAGCGAGCTGTTTGAGAAGACCACTTCACTGCCGGTGTTGTAGCCGAGCCAAATCCGAAAAAACCGAAACCACGAACGATGGATACTGCCGGCGCTTCCGCAAGCACGTCAAGAACCACAAAAGGAAAAGTGAGTAGCATACCGGAAAAAAATCCAGCGATGGACGAAGACGTAATTGGTGATGATGATAATTCGCGTGTATTTTTAGTCATAATTAAGAAATAAAACCTTGAGAAAAGGAAATAAAAAGGGACGTACACAGTACCGTCTCAAAACCAGCACAGCGTACGTACAGCTCTCATTTACTTCCACAACAGTCTTCTTTGTCAACCTCCACCCAAATTATACATATTCAACAGTAAATAAAGTAAATGGCAGTAAATGACAATTCAACTAGTAAATGCCAATTTAAGAATAAATTAAGTAAATGGAAGTAAATGACACGACGCTGAATGGCTAATGGTGATGATGATGATGTTGGCTTTCAACTGAAGCGCCACTTTATGGTCAACACACAAACTATTTTCGCGAGTCTGAACGTCATCGTTGTTGCACGTGAAGGGGTACGTGTGAACGAGCACATTTCGCGAAACTTGAGTGTCGCGAAACTGTTGCGCGCCAAAAAGATGCCTCGTGTGAACAGACCTTTAAATGATGCCCGTCACTGAGAAAATTCAGAGAAGAAAATACTAGAAAAGGTACTAGAAAAAGATAAGAATAAAGATAGCTGAATTTAACTTCCTGAAAAGGAAGAAGAAGAATATTGGGGAGGAGACTTTTTCTATGACAACTCTAGTGCTAGGAATTCCCGCACTGGTGTCGATAACAACAACGATGCCTCGGAAACATTGTCTACGGCAGTCTTGATCTTAAATGCTTCAATTATTCCTCGCATTTACTTGTCCTTGTGTGAGCCAAGCACAGCGATTAACGACATTTAAATGATGGGCATCATTTAAATGTCGTTGCTTTTTGAAAGAACTGTGTGTGTCTGTTCCTCGTATATGTTCAGTGTTTATATTATTTCCGTGTGAACTGTAGTCCATCCAACGCGCTCTGCTACGTGTACGGCCTTTAGAGTTCGGCTGTTCTCATCACCGCAGTGGTTGGACACGAGACACTACGCGAGTGTCCGCCGACGCATTGATTGTTACTAGCCAAAGTCGGGTGCTAACGCACCTCTCTTGTCCAATCCATGAGCTGCGCTAGACTCTCGTCAGGCGGGTGGTTTCGGTCCCGCAATTACGTCATCGAGCTTTGCGAATAAGGCACGACTAAAAGAAATAGTCCACCTTTATCCTCGCAATTTCACCGCGACAAAGATGCTTCTGAATCAGTGGCGGTCTGTGCGAGTATACTTGGGCCAGACTAGGAACAATGCGCCTCTGCAAAGTCATGAGCCTTGCAAACCGATATCGTTTCATGACTCCTTTAAGCGGTCTTCGATCCCGACTCTAATTCTACAGGCTTCCGCTTCGCTCACCAATACGGAAAGAAAATGAAGGAGAAAAGAAGATGAGAGCGTGCAGTGGACGTGAGAGCGCCGAGCTTTGATTGAAATAGTTAGTGGGTGGACATAAAGGCTATAGCTGCTTTTGTCTCTGTCTTCGACTGTCCGTTCACCCTTAAACTGATACTAGAAGCTCCGCCTTCGGCGTGAGCTCGCTGGCCTCCGCAGTGCTTTGGTTGCGCGTGCCTGTACGTTTACACTTGTGTTAGCAAGCGCAGAAAGCGCGCGCGGAAAGGGTGAACGGAATATAGGGGCTTTCAGAAATAAAGTTCATTATTTATCTCTCTCGCTCCAACCGGAGCGAACACTGAGCGTCGCCAGCTTCTCTCGTTAGGTTTGATGTTCTCTAGACTCTGCGCGATGAGTAAATAATTGGCATAGAGTAGAACATTAGAATGATGTTGTCACGGGCACCATCTTCGTCGCTGTCAAACTCAGTATCCACCGTTTAATCACCCGAAAGACCCGTTCCACTCCGGTAAGACATGTCTTCAAGGTACACAACAGCCACGTTGTCATGTAGAAACGAGTTCGTTTTTGAAGCTGATAGGCCAAGAAAAAATAAAAGAAAATAAGTGATTGGTTAGCGGAGCGAATGAAATCCCTATGATGGGTATGTGTCTCACTCGGTTCTAACCTGGCACCGATTATATTATCTGGCAGAGGAAATATTCCTTATTTAGAAACGGGTTTCTCGTGCCAGCGTGGTACCCACGCGTGATGTGGGCGAACGAGCTTGTTGCTGAAACATAAGACACGGAACTAAGGGAAGATACGTATAAATCTGCGTCAGCAACGGCTGGCACGCTACTTGTACCTGACCTTGTTACGGCTCCGCGGACCGCGAGCTTCGTCATCCGGACTAGGGACAACACCTACGAGACGAGTCATCAAATCGCGAAAGAGCGGCGAACGTCACCCCCGCAGCGAGTCACCCATGATGTCTGCACGCACGCTAGGTTCTCATTAGGCTCTGCTTCCTGCACTGAGAAATGGTGGCCAGGCTTCACGAGTTCCAAAAACCGTTAGCTAATCCATCCCCCCCCCCCCCCCCCCCCAAGCCCGGACTCACTGTTTAGCCCATTGTGATTTCTCTTTTTTTCTTTTTTTCTTTACTCCGTATTTGTCCAAGTTTGCTTGGAAGCATCTGATACTAATGAGGCGGAGATACGGATGGCCCTGGAGCCTTTTGTTTTGCTTTCACCTAGCCTCAGTTTTATAGTTCAATGAATTCCAGCTAACTCTCCAGCCCCATGGCCTCTGTGAGACCGAACTAACTGCTGCTGCACTTAGTATATATATGGGCTGTTTTATTTGGATTCCGGCAACGAGGGGCAATCGTATTTTTTGTTTTGCTTCAAATTTTTATATTTTGTGGCGCATGTTCCAAGAAGAACTGTCATTTTTATTTTA